CAAATTATTCAATTCAGAGTTTAAATTATCGCTGAAAAAGATTCAGAGCAGGAAGCCGCTGGATGCCTTGACAGTTTTCACCGACGCGTCTGGAGCATCCCACAAGTCAGTGATGACTTGGAAGGATCCTCAGACTCAGCAGTGGGAGACTGATGTTGTTGTTGTGGAGGGCTCTCCACAAGTTGCTGAGTTGGACGCAGTCGTCAGGGCATTCCAGAGGTTCCCTGGGCCTTTTAATTTGGTTACAGATTCTGCGTATGTCGCAGGTGTAGTGTCTCGAGCTGAGTCTGCGGTTCTTCAAGAGGTCACCAACAAAAGATTATTTGAGTTGCTTAACAGGCTCATCAAGCTAGTCTCCCACCGCGAGCACCCTTTTTATGTTATGCATGTGAGATCACATACTGATCTGCCCGGGTTTATTGCGGAAGGCAACCGTCGTGCCGACTCTCTGGCCGCGGCTGCTGTTACACAGGCCCCTCTCCCAGACGTGTTCGGCCAGGCTAAGATCAGTCACCAACTTTTCCATCAGAATGCGCCTGGCCTGGTCCGGCAATTCAATCTGACGCAGGATCAGGCCAAGGCGATAGTGGCCACATGTCCCCAATGCCAACAAGATCAGATGCCTACTGTGGCCTCGGGGGCCAATCCCCGAGGTTTGGCGAGCTGCGAAGTGTGGCAGATGGACGTGACGCATATCCCATCTTTTGGTCGATTGTGTTACGTCCACGTCTCTGTTGATACCTTCTCTGGGGCTATCTATGCTTCTGCCCACACAGGTGAAAAGGCAGCGGATGTCCAGAAGCATCTGCTTCAGGCATTCGCTGTCTTGGGCATCCCTAGGGCCCTAAAAACAGATAACGGCCCTGCGTATACCTCCAAGGAGCTGCGGAGCTTCCTGCAGCAATGGGGAATAGTCCATAAGACTGGCATCCCCTATTCCCCGACAGGCCAAGCCATGGTGGAGAGGGCCCACCAGAGCCTTAAGAAGATCTTATCCCGGCAACAACCGGCGATGAAGGTGGAGACCCCCCATGTCTGGCTGTCAAGGGCATTGTACACGCTTAACTTTCTAAATTGCTCTTTTGACAGCCAAAATCCTCCAGTGGTCCGGCATTTCGGCAGTCACCAGCAGCTGCAGCCTAAAGCCAGGCCACCGGTTCTTGTAAAAGATCCGGAGACCTGGCGGACGGAGGGGCCCTTTGACCTGGTGACCTGGGGGAGGGGATATGCCTGCGTGTCCACTCCCTCAGGCCCCAGGTGGATTCCATCTAAGTGGGTCAGGCCCTTCGTCCCGAAACAGAGGACCAAGAAAGAGGCAGTACCACAGGTCCGGCAAGCTTGTTGGCGTCGGCGGAGGAAACCACACCATCAATCTTTGTCTTTCTCTCTGGATCTCCCCCCAGTTACAGAAGAGCCCTCTCCTCCAGCTTCTCCTCCACCCCTTGACCTCCTATGTCACGTTTCCTTCCATTCGCCCCCTGCTCCAGCTCTTACCCCTCGTATGTTTTATTTAAATTGGTTGTTCGGGGAAGAACCATTTTTGTGAGTATGTTATGTCTAACTGTTACCTTTTTGCTTTTTAGTACATCTCCCCAATTTACTTTTGAATTTTGCTCCCCTGATCCGCGAGCTGGTCCTGAGAAAGTGACAGTGCCGGGTGCGAGCGCGTAACACCTCGGTCCCATGGAAAAAAGCGATTCCGCATCTGTAACCTCTCTTCGGAGGCAGTGAGAGCCGCTGATGGAGAGGGGCCCACCACTTCACCTGTCCGCCATCCATGGGCCGATGGACTTTGCAAAGCACTTGGCAAGACCAGCCGCGGGTCCCTGCGTTTTAAGTTCATTATAGACTTTTCCATTCATTTAATTTTATTTGTTAAGAAACGGGGAGATGTTGTAGTGTGTTTTTAAGTTTCTTGTTTTGTTCCCCCATTTTATGTATTATTCCCCCCCTGTTCTTTGTAAGACGGTTCTTCCCCCTCCAGCTTTCCTGCCACAGTGTCTTTGGCAGTTATGTTACCACGGTTACCCCTGCCCCCATTATTTGTCAATCTCCCGAGTTACATAACTGCTCCTCCCTTATCCCACCATATAAGTAAAGCTTTCCTCCTCCCTGGGCCCAGTCAATCACCCCCCACTCCTCCCTGCTTTCGAGAACATTCTTCTCTCTGGGGGTCGTAGTTGGCTGGCGTCCCAGGGCCCCTCCTTTGTTCTATGTTTATTGGATAAGTTCTTGTGTCAGTTTTCTTATGTACCTCCCCACATGTTCCCCTATTGGTTAGCTGGGCTTCCCCTCCCGTCTCCACCCCTTCCCTGTAAAACTTTGTCTCCCCCTGTGTTCGGGGCCATTTTGCTGTGGGTTTTCCACCTGTTGGTTTGCCCTGTGCTGCATGTGGGCTCTTCAATAAACCGACGTTTTACCCCCAGCAAGTGGTCGCCTCCTCTCTCGTCTCGTCAGCGCGAACCCAAGTCCGCAATCCAGCCCAGCCCGAGGCCAGGACGCCAAGGGGGGCTGGCCTCAGATGCGCAGGGGCGTCGGGCGTCGGCCGCTTTACCCTTTCAGCTAGCCGGACTTAGGGCCGTGAACGCCCTCGCGCAGATTGCTGCTTGAATATTGGCCAAGTCAAGCTTCTCATTTATAACAGGTGCAGGGCAGAGACACCGTGGGACAGCCTGGGCTGCACAGGGCACAGGCATGTGCAGCAGCTGCAAGACAGCCCTGCCAGAGCCAACTTGGGCAGCACTTTGGCCATGGCTGCTGGGCCTAGGCCTGAGGCAGGAGCCGGAGACAAGTGACCCTTGCAGGCCTGGGGCCTCATTGCCTCCTTGTCCCTGCTCAGCAGCCTGGCAGGGGCCGCCCCATGCTCCTGCCCTTGCCATTGCACATCCCCACATGCCAGTGCCCATCCTGGCAAGAGCCCTGAGCAAGGAGGGAGGGACAGCTTCTGCCTGGCCAGGGGCTGGGGCTCAGGCCTTGGCCCTTGGCATTCCTCAAACACATCCAGCTTTGCTCAGCACCAGAGACACCTTAGCCTTGTTTGTGCCCAGCTGTCATCATTGCCTCCAGTGTTCTGCTCTAACTGGAACCTGGGGACACTTTCTCAGTGGGACCCATTAAAACTTCAAAAAGTTCAGAGTTTCAATTTAATTTTGAGTTCTTGAGAAGTTTTTGAAGACACTCTCAGGGACTGGGTCTGATGTAAACAACACCAAATCCCCAAGAGGCTCATTAACATCCTTGTGCTGTGTCTGTGCTGCTGAGCTTTAAAGGAACAGCTCTTCCCAGCACCAGCTCCTCTCCCAGCCCAGCCCGGCTGAGGGCTCTGCCTGCAGGCACTGAGGGACAGGAGCCAGGCAGAGACAGGCTAAAGGCAATTAGGATTGGGAAGACATTGAGCTGAGACTTCACTTGGGGAAAGATCTTCACAGCCCTGTGCATGGCAATGTCCCCTGTGCTCCTGGAGGGATCTCCTGAAGCCAGCACAACTCACAGCCTGGGGGATGTGTCAGGACGACTTCCCAGTTTCTCTGGGGCACAGGAACAGGAGGAGGAGGATGTGCTGCAGAGCGGGGCTGCCCTGGGCACCGTCAGAGGGACAGGGCAGGACGGCTCCTGCTGCCAGGGACGGCTGCAGGTGCTGAAGCTGGGGCTGCAGCCAGGGCTGCCCAGGGCTGTCCTGCAGAGCAGCTCCTGCAGCCCTCAGGGCTCTTGGCCAGCCCACGGCATGGGCCACCTGCCAGGGGCAGCTCTCAGCCTGCCTGGCAGCTCCCCATGGACGCTGCAGGGGAGAAGGTGGAGGTGGAAGGAGCCACCCCCATCAGGGCAGATTCCTCCTGCTCTGGAGATGGTGCTGCATGGCCAGGGCTGCTCTCAGCTTTCTCCTCAAGGGAAGAGAAAAGGGGCTGTCAGCTTTGGTTGTGTCACTGAGACTCCTGCACTGTCACCCTGGGCACCAGCAGATGGGTCTCAGATCTCCCTCAGAAAGTGCCTCCTCAGCCTCCTCTCCCTACAGACAGCAGCAGCAGCTCCTTGGCTTGCAGCATCTCTGTTTGTCTGGCCTGCTCTTAAGGCCCTGCTGCCAGGGAGATGCCCCTGGGCAGTGCCCTGTGCTGGGAGGGGTCTGCAGGGCAGAGCTGAGCCCCCAGGGCTGGGCTGGGCTCTGGCAGCACTGGCAGGGACAAGGCTTGGATAGAGAGAAACAGCTCCCCCGTAGGCACAGCTCCAGGCTGCAGAGAGCCAGAAAAACCCTTGGTATCCCATCTTGTCCAGCTGCACAGGGAGAGGGAAAAGGGCTTAGAGAAATTTACTTTTAAACTGGAGTCTTTAAAAACTCGACTTAATTTTTCAAGCTTGATCACCCTGAACTACAGGTAGGTGGAATGTGCAAAGGGCACCTGTGTGGGGACCAGCAGGTCTGACTGCAATGGGGCAGAGGGAGCCCTGTTTTCCCTGTGGCCTTCCACGGGGTTCAGGCTGAGAGCAGTGCTTAAGATGAATCAGTAACTCAGAAGCATAAACCCAAGATCAAGAATAAAATATTGACAGAAGCTTCCCCACAGGAAGAGAAATAGTTTTGAGGGAATTTCTAAAATAACCCCATAGGATTGTTTCCAAGAGCTTGGTCTCCGGTTGTCAATATCTTGTTTCAACAGTCCACCATGCCCAGAGTGAAGGAATGTCCAACAGCAGCTCCATCAGGCACTTCCTCCTGCTGGCATTGGCAGACACGCGGCAGCTGCAGCTCCTGCACTTCTGCCTCTTGCTGGCCATCTCCCTGGCTGCCCTCCTGGGCAACGGCCTCATCATCAGCGCCGTAGCCTGTGGCCACCACCTGCACACGCTCATGTTCTTCTTCCTGCTCAACCTGGCCCTCAGCGACCTGGGCATGATCTGCACCACTGTCCCCAAAGCCATGCACAATTCCCTCTGGGACACCAGAGACATCTCCTACTCAGGATGTGCTGCTCAGCTATTTATGCTTGTTTTCTTGATTGGAACAGAGTTTTCTCTCCTGACCATCATCTGCTATGACCGTTATGTGTCCATCTGCAAACCCCTGCACTACGGGACCCTCCTGGGCAGCAGAGCTTGTGCCCACATGGCAGCAGCTGCCTGGACCAGTGCCTTTCTCAATGCTCTGCTGCACACAGCCAATACATTTTCCCTGCCCCTGTGCCATGGCAATGCCCTGGGCCAGTTCTTCTGTGAGGTGCCCCAGATCCTCAAGCTCTCCTGCTCACACTCACATTACCTCAGGGAACTTGGACTTATTGTGGTTAGTGGTTTTCTGTTGTTTGGCTGTTTTGTGTTCATTGTTTTCTCCTACGTGCAGATTTTGAGGGCTGTGCTGAGGATCCCCTCTGAGCAGGGACGGCACAAAGCCTTTTCCACCTGCCTCCCTCACCTGGCCGTGGTCTCGCTGTTTGTCAGCACCTCATTTTTTGCCTACCTGAAGCCCCCCTCCATCTCTTCCCAATCCCTGGATCTGGCCCTGTCAGTTCTGTACTCAGTGGTGACTCCAGCCCTGAGCCCCCTAATCTACAGCCTGAGGAACCAGGAGCTCAAGGCTGCAGTGTGGACACTGATGACTGGATGGTTTCAGAAGCATTATATTGCTGGCCAGTTTCTGCAAATCACTTGTAAAAAAAGTCATCTTTGATAGTTCTTTTTTTTTTTGGTTGAGGCATTTTTTTTACTTTTGTTTTAGTCTATTAATCTTGTCCACAAAATAATTGTTGATGCCACTTCTGATTTTTGGTTTCTCTCCATCATTGCTGTAGCCCTAGACAGTGTCAATAAGGAGCTGTGCTCTCAGTGGCTTTAAATGATCTCCCAGCAGTTTTCCTTGGAAATCCCTCTTTTCTTCCTTTCTCTGTACCTGCAGCAGCAATGTCTGGAGCAGAGCTGGGGGCAGGTAAGGGGCAGTACCGCAGCTCTGCTCCTGCTGGCCACACCATTCCTGATCCAGGCCAGGAGCCATTGGCCTTCTTGCCCACCTGGGCACACTGCTGGCTCATGTCCAGCCTGCTGTCCATCAGTGCCCCAGGTCCCTTTCTGGCTTACTGCTGTCCAGCTGTTAGCGTTCAAAAACACATAAGCACGGAGCAATTATATGCGGTGCTTTTTATTAAGAGCTCTGGGAATCGGGGTATATTCAACCCAAATCTGACTCCGACCATACATCCGAAATGATCATGTTTTATACTCTATCGTTACATAACTTTCATGTTAATTATTAAACTTATATTGTTCTATTGTATACATAAATTTAGCCCCTCTCTGAATTTCCAACATAGTTTCTCACTATTCTTCTTATGGTTATATAATAATTACATTTAATTACTAAACAATCATCACATCTAACAATTATATAATTTATCATACTGCTTACGCAGGTGCAGTTGATCTGGGAAAGCACAAAGCCTAACATTTTAGATTCTATCTTTAACTTTTTCCAGGTTTCCACTATCACAGCCACTCTGTCCCCAGCCTGTAGCAATGCAGGGGTTGTTGTGGCCAAAGTGCAGGACCCGGCACTTGGTCTTGTTCAACCTCATCTTGTTGGAGTTGGGCCCTGGACCCAGCCTGTCCAGGTCCCTCTGCAGAGCCCTCCTACCCTCCAGCAGATCTACACTCACACCCAGCTTGGTGTCATCTGCAAATTTGCTGATGCTGGACTCAGTCCCCTCATGCAGATCATCAGTGCAGATATTGAAATCTACGCTGGCTGGCTCTGATCCCTCAGCCATCCTGTGGGTGCCCTGGGATGGCACTCAAGGTGATCTGTTCCATAACCTTGCCGGGCACTCAGGTCAGGCTGACAGGCCTGGAGTTGCCCAGCTCCTCCTTCCAGCCCTTCTTGGGGATGGGCTCACATTGGCACCTCCAGTCCTCTGGGACCTCCCTGCTGAGCCAGGACAGGTGGTAAATGATGGGTAACAATATCCCCCCAACAAGGAATGGAGGTTTCCTTACCCCTCCTTTTGCCATTAATGTATTTATAAAATCATTTTTATTAACCTTCACAGAAGTGGCCACGTTAAGTCCTAATTGAGCTTCCACCTCTCCAGTTTTCTTTCTGCATTACCTAGGAACATCCTCAAACATTTCTTGAGTTGCCTGCCTGTCCTGCATTTGGCTACATAATGATTTTGTCATTTAAGGGGTATAATTTAATTTGCTCCCTACCCAGCCAGACCACTCATTTTCCTTGGCATATCACTTTTGGGATGCTTCTGTTCCTTCAAAATTTCTTTCTTGAAAGGTGTCCATCCTTCCTGGACACGTTTGTTTTTAAGGGCTGCTATATTTTTAAGGGCTGATTTTAAAAATCAGTACCTGAGGTCGTACTCCCCAAACCAGTCCTGAATAGGCCAAAGTCTGCTCTCTGTAACTCCAACGTACAAGATTCTTTGATGCCCCTCCTTTCTCAGAATGTGTAAAAAATCAATAAATTCATGGTCACTGTGCCCCAAACAGCATCTGACAACCACATCTCCCACCAGCCCTTCTCTCTTTGTGACCAGCAAGAGACAGAGCTTTCCTTGGCAGTGGGAATTGCAGGAAACCTCCCCAAAGTGCACCTTGGAAGGTTCAGCCTGGTACTGAGAAGAAAGCAAAGTCCCTCACAGGGCAGCATGTTGGTGCTGGAGGTGTGGCAGCGTGAGGCTGGGCCATGGCCGGGCTCTGTGTGCCAGGAGCCGGCAGCACTGGGTGCAGGGAGCCCAGAGAGAGCACAGCAACACTGGGTGAGAAATGCTGGGGCATAGTGAGATGGGCGAGTGCAGCCGGCCAGGGCAGAGGAGCAGCACGCCCAGGGGGCACAGCCTGCAGGACAGATGGCCAAGGGCTGGGCAGGGCTGGCAGGGCCACAGGCACCCAGGCCTTTGTGCCCTGGCCTCGGGCAGCGCCTCTGGAGGCCCCACAGGAGGAACTTTCCTGGCAGGGGCTGCACTTTGCTTCTCCCTCGGCCTCCCTGCAGAGGCTGGCAGGGTCTGCAGGTTGATGCATTTTGTCCTTGCCGCCCCTCACATCCCCCTGGCCCACCAAGAGCCCCGAGGCAGCCGTGAGGGACAGGCCCTGCTGGCCCAGGCTGGGCTCAGGGCTTGGCCTTTCTGCTTCCTGCAGCCAAGCCAGGCCTTGCTCAGCATTGCAGTTCCCTGCTCACAGCCTTGGGCTCCCTGCAATCCTGCCCTCAAGGATCTGCTCTCACCAGGCCCTGGGCAGCCTTGGGCACTCCCTGCCCTCACTGGGGCCCAGCCATGCTCCAAGGCACTTGGAGTTTTGCTGCTGACTCCTTCAGCAGCTTCTCCATCCTTCTCTGCGTGCCTGAGGCTCCTGGAGCCAGCCCCAAATCCAGCGTGGTGCTGATTAAAATACAGAAAGCGCTCAGGTGCTCTTTGTCTCCCTTCCATTGTCTTTGAGTCTCCAGGGCTTGTAGAGTGATTGGAGTCAGTTTGGAGTTATCTTCAGGAGGAAGATGTCAAAATGCACCTCATGATTTTTGTTTTTTTAATCACATCAGAATTTTTTTATTTTTTAGTTATGAGAAGAGGGGATAGAAGCATTCCCTAGGTGATCTGGATGCTGAATGTCTCCTTAGGAGGTCTGGGCATGGATAAGAATGAGCCCCTTGCAGGCTGAGCCTGTTTGGACAATCGGCTCCTCACCCCCAGTCTCACCATGTCTGACAACGCCCACCTGGGACTGACATCCCAAAAAAAAAAAAAAAATTAAGCATTTTTCCTTATAAATAAAATTTATTAATAACAAAATTAGAGTTATATTATCTTTATTTAGGATAGTCTTAGACAATATTTTTATTACCTAATTTGTATATTTATATTAAAATTTGATACATTTCTAGCAACCAAGAAAATTATTCATCATTGGTTCCAAGTAACACAATTCCCTTCATGAATTAATTAATTAATTTCTATTGGCTATTTATTTCTTTCTCTTTACGTTAATTAGGTATATTTGTAGTCTTTTTGTCATCTTTTTTATCATCTTTTTCTCAGACAGGGTTGGGGGGGCAGTGCACTTCGAGGTTCCCGGAGACATTTCTGGGGCACATTTGGGGCAGTTTTGGGTCTGGGGAGGGAATTCAGAGAGAACTTGAGGGTCTGGAGGATACTTGGGGAAGCCGGGTGGGCACTTGGAGGGGCACTCAGGGATTCTGAGCAACAGTTCAGGGTCCGGGGCAGCACTTGGGGGTCCAGGGGGACCCTTGGAGGTCACGGAGGGGAATTTGGGGCCCTTCAGGATCCGGGCGGGCCCTTAGGGGCCTCGAACGGGGCTGTCTGGGGTGCGGGGGGTGATGGGAGTTGTAAGCGCGGGTATCATACGGTTTAACGGGGCCGCGGAGCATCGGCGGAGTTCTGGGCGCAGCTGCAATGGCTCTCGGTGTGGCACAGGGCATGAGAGGAGATGAAGTCCCGGCTGGACTGGCGCTGGTCGTGCGCCGCGGAGCATGATGGGAGCTGTAGTCCTGGAAGTGGTTGGAACGAAATGTTTGGGAGTCCGGGACGGCTCTTGGGGGACACCTTTGAGTCCGAGCCCCGACTTGAGATCTTCTGGGGGAACGTAAACGGCACGGGAGCCCTTGGGAGAAGCTCGGAGAGCTCCAACCAGGCTCTTTAGGGCGTGGGTTGCGGCCGGAGTTTTAGGCGCGGGACTGTGTTCTGAGGGGCTCTGGGGCCGCGGGGGACGAGAGGAGATGAATTCCCAGAAGTGGCTGTACCGGCCATCTGTGGGGGTGGGAGCACTCAGGGGTTCGGGGGTGCTTATGGGAGTCCCGAATGGGCGCTGAGGGGGCACTGTGGGATCCTGGAGGTTCTGTGGAGCGCGGGACATGATGGGCGTTGTTGTTTTGGCTGCAATTGGGCTCAATCGGCCCGCAGGGCATGATGGGAGCTGTAGGCAAAACCAGAAAATACGGCACCTACCCAAGGCACCCCTCTCGAGGCCCCGGCCTCTGGCGCTGAATGGCTGCAGGCTGTGATGGGCGGGAGCCTCGGCAAATGGGAGGCGGTGGAGGCGGGAGCAGCCAATGCACCCTCTCCTGTCCCTCCCAGTACAGACCAGTCCCTCCCAATACACCTGAGTTCGTTCCCGGTCCCTTTCCAATTCCCCCCAGTCTTCCCCACCTGCTCTCAGTGACTTTGCGATTCCAAACCTAGACACTGGGGCTGCTGGCTGTCCCAGGGAAGGAGCTGGACAAGATGTCCTTCGCCCAGGAGCTGTAATTTGGATTGTCACTTGCCGCTGTTCTTCTGAACTCTTCTCTGTTACGCAGATTGGCCCTTAATGAGCTGGTGGCTCTCCAGTAAATGGTCCTGGGAGCAGCCAGGGCAGAGAATGAACTGAGTTTCTCCTCTTGCCATTGTCGGTGCCATGTCTGGGTGTGCAGATGAGTCTCTTATCTCTTGACCTGAGGCAGCCCTGTTTGGAGGCTGCACTCACAGGCACTGCTATTGTGTAACAGATGACACCAGATTCTTGGGATGGCTTTCCAGAAATGCACCATGGTTAGGGGAAAAGCTTTGTTCTTGCCCTTGCAATGGATTTGCTCAGGGCCAGGATCACAGGTTTGTTCCGAAGGCTGTAGATGAATGGGTTTAAGAATGGGTACAGGACTGTATTCAGCAGAGCTACAATTCTGTTGGTGCTCAAGGAAACAGATTCTGCAGGACGTGTGTAGAGAGCAATGCAGCTCCCGTAGGCAATGGATTAGGTGATGAGATGGGAAGAACACGCAGTCAAAGCTTTCTTCCTCCCAGAGGCTGCTGGAAGATGCAGAACACAGAAAAGGATGCAGATGTAAAATGCCAGAGTCAAACACAAGGAACCCAGCACAACACAGGATATGAAGACAGAGTCTATTTTCCAGAGCAGGCTGGTGTCAGAGCAGGACAGTTTGAACAAGGGGGAGTTGTCACAAAAGAAATGGGGGATCTTGGAGCCACAGAAGGACAGCTCAGAGAGGAAGAGCAGCCGGTAGCTCAGCAGGGCAAAGCTGAGGATCCAAGCAGCAACAACCAGGCGGACACAGAGCTGAGGCTTCATGATGGCAGCATAGAGCAAAGGTTGGCAGATGGCAACATAGCGGTCAAAGGACATGACAACGAGCAGCATGAACTCTGTGCAGCCCATAGCAAAATAGAAATAGTTTTGGGCAAAGCAGCTGCTAAGTGAGAGAGTGTTCTGACCAGAACTCAGCATCACAAACAGTTTGATGCTTGTGGAGGATGTAAACCAGATTTCCAGGAAGGCCATGTTGCTGATGAAAAAGTACATGGGGGTTTGCAGGTGGTGATCCACACACACGAGGAAAATGATGGTTGCATTCCCCATCACTGTTGTCAGGTACATGAGCAGAAGGACCAGAGAGAAAAATACCTGCAGCCTTGGATCCAGCTCTGGAAAACCCTCTAGGATGAACTCAGTAACTGCTGTTTCATTTTCTGGTCCCATGCTGAATTCCAGCTCATCCTGCTGAGACAGGAACATGGCAAAAACAAGTGGGAAAATTTCACAGTCTGGACAAACATTTCTATCCTTCCTTCTCTGTTTTTTTCTTTTCCTGCAGTCTTGCTATAGAGCACAGAGATCGTGCTTCAAACAATTCTCACACCCTGATTGTTCTGTTTACCATTTCAGGTAGAGATGCCAGGGGTTTATTGTGTTCTTTCTACCTTTTCCAAACACTCCCAAAAAGTTCTTTCACCAGAACAGAGGATTCTAAAGAGTTCTTGGCTATTTCCCCCCTTTCGTGGGAAATTCCCAGCTCACTCAGACCTACTGCAAAATCTGTCACACCAATGTGCCAAAAACCTGTCATCTACAGCGCAAACACTAAACTGTGAAATTACATCCAATCTGTACATTGAAGTTCCTTGTTTCTACTTTTCAGTACCTGCCTTTGGACAGGAGTCCCTGAGGATCTGTTGATTCCAAAATAAGCAATCCCAAGTATCTCTTTTGCAACCCTCTGCTTTCTTCCACAGCTTTTCCCTCTCTGGCTCGTCAGGAAAGGAGTGGGGAGGGCAGAATAGGGACCAATTATAACTTGGTTTTTGAGTGCTCCAAATGAGGACTGGAATTTATTATGGATCCACACAGAGTGTCACAATCTGAGCTGTCTCCTGTCTGCACCAAAATGCACCTGTTCCCATGCAGTCCTTCATTGCCATTGATAGCAAATAACCCAAGTGCAGAGTGAGAGATTCGTAATTTTTGCTTTGTGTGCCAGATGGGAGCACCCAGCCTCCAAATGTTCTCTTGTCTCTACTGGTTACAGAGGGAGCCTCAAGACAACAAATTCTCCTGGGTGCCTGCAGGGAATAGATTAAACTCACTTTTCAAGTCTCAAATGCTGGATTAATTAAGTAATTAAGTTACTCTGTTTTGAAATCAAAATGCACAGCTAAGGAAAGATACATGAGAAAAATATATGCAATAAAGACTGTATTTTCTAATAAAGTCTAAAATAAAGCTATGTCTAAGAAAAAGGTATTTTCCCTTTCAGGTTTTTTGATTTGCTTTTAGACATGAAGAGCAGAGCAGGTGACTTTGAAAATAGGATTATTTAAAATGCCGGGGAGAAGAGGAGAGGGAGGGTCTGAAGCAGTGAAACAAAGCTCTGTTGATGACAACCAGAGCACCGAAGTCACTGGACCCCTGGGTGGCCCAAGGACTCTCCCATCTCATTGTCCACACAGAGCAGAGCAGAGGCTGGTCTGAGACAGGCCATCAACTTGAAACCAAGTGACTGAGCTCAGTCAAGAGCCCTCAAAATGAACCAGCTCCAAAATGAACAAAAATTAGTCACCTTCGAAATTAACTGTGGGACTGAAATGTTTGGGAGCTCTCCAGGTGGGGCCTCGGGGCAGCCCTCGAGATGAGCAGATCCTGCTGTGCCCGGGCCGATTCTTGTGCATAAATGCAGTGACCACCAGCATGGCTGGAGGCTCTGATGCTTCAGAGACTCCTGTAGCGCGGGTATCATACGGTTTAACGGGGCCGCGGAGCATCACGGGAGTTCTGGGCGCAGCTGCAATGGCTCTCGGTGGGGTGAGGGGCATGACGGGAGATAAAGTCCCGGCTGGAATAACGCTGGACTTGCGCCGCGGAGCGTGATGGGAGCTGTAGTCCCGAGAGTGGCTCGAACACAATGTTTGGGGGTCCGGGAAGACGCTTGGAGGACACTTTTCCGTCCGAGGCGCGACTTGAGGTTCTCGGTGGAACTTAAATGGTTCGAGAGCCCTTAGGGGGAGCTCGGGGAGCTCTAACCAGGTTCTTAAGAGCGCGGGGCACGGCAGGAGTTTTAGGCGCCTGACTGTGTTCTGAGGGGCTCTGGGGCCGCGGGGGATGGGAGGAGATGAATTCCCAGAAGTGGCTGTACCGGGCATCTGTGGGGTTGGGATCACTCAAGGGTCCGGGGACGCTTTTGGGGGGTCCCAAATGAGCGCTGAGGGGGCACTGCGGGATCCTGGAAGGTGTGGGGGACACTTATGGAACAGATGGGGGCGGATCCCGGTGTTCTGTGGAGCGTCGAGCATGACGGGAGTTGTAATTCCGGCTCTAATTGGGCTCAATCGGGCCGTGGGGCATGATGGGAGTTGTAGGCAAAAAGGAAAGGCGCCAATCTAGGCACCACCCCCAAAACCGGGTCCCTTGTGCTGATTGGCTGCGGTAGGTGATTTGCGGGAGCCTCGGCAAATGGGATGTGGTGGAGGCGGGAACAGCCCATTCACCCTCCTCCAGCCCCTCCCGGTACTGCCCAGTCCCTCCGAATACGCCTGAGTTTATTCCCAGTCCCTTCCAGTTCACCTCAATTTCATCCAGAGGATGCCCCAGTGTCCCCAGTCTTCCCCGCAATGTCCCCAGTGTCCCCAGTTTGCCCCAGTATCACTCCCAGTATGTCCCAGTGTACCCCCACAGTCCATCCCCCTCCACCCAGATTCCCCCTCAGTATTCCTCGTATTCCCAGGTTGTCCCACTCCTCCTCAGTATCACTCCCAGTATGTCCCAGTATCTCCCACAGCCTTCCCAGTGTTCCCCAGTATGTCCCAGTCCTCCCCAGTGTTTCCAAGGACAGTTGAATTTCTGTCGGCGGCCGTGGCAGCCAAACGCAGCAATGGGGTCAGTGCAGTGCCCATGGCCACAGCCCCTTGCAGTGGCCCCGTGCAGCTTGGGCTGATGATCCACCCTCACAGCTGGCCCAGGGCAGCTCTGCAGTGGCTTTGGTGGCACCTGGGGCCGGCACACACCTGAGCAGTGTGTCTGTTTGCAGTGGGGAAACTCAGGAGTTTCAGATTGCTTCAAAAAATCCCCAAAAGGGGAAAACTCCTCTTAGGCTGAGTGCAGCCAGCTCTGCAAGCATAGCAGGTCCCAGGGGAGTGAGGACAGACAGGATGGGGCTGGGCAATGTGGAGCAAGGTTGTCCACACTGGGTCAGAGCTCCAGGCACAAC